AAAAAAAAAAAAAAAAAAAAAAAAAAAAAAACCCAACTCATTTCCATTTCATACATGTCATATTTAATAGTAGTAAAAGACTCTCTTTCTGCCTCGTTTTTTTTCTTTTTCTCTCCGTCTCCCTCCGTTTCGTTTCTCCGTAGCTCTGCCTGCTGGACTATTTATTCATCCTACAGCATTATCAGCATTCATTTCACCGAGGTATTCTGACCTCCGGGGAGAAAAAAGGGTCACATTTTCATTTAAGGTTCAGTAATAAACTATTTAGGAGCCACTGAGACGTAGTTTATGAATTAAATGAATTAATTTCATGAAAATATTAGCCTCCCAAAAACATGCAGTAGGTGGATGCTAAATTTCCCCTATTAGTGTGAATGAGTGTGTGAACGTGTGTGTGGCTTGTGATCATCCTATCCAGAGTGTATTCCGGCTCAAGCACAGTATTCCCGGGATAGACTCCGGATTCACTGTAACCCTAATCAGGATAAAGCACTTTACTAAACATAATAATAATAATAATAATAATAATAAGAATAATAATATTCACAGTATTAAATAAAATACTAATTTAATTCAATAAATTAAATAAAAAAACTATTCATATATTACTAGTAAATAATAATAATCATCAATAATAATTATAAAAATGTTTAAATGAACATTTAGATAATATATTACCATTTAGGTGTCTGGGTAAATATTTAATAAATATCATAAAAATTATAAATTATATTTACTCCTCTTTACTAATATATTATTAAACATTTAGAAGCAATCTTTAATTACTTTAATTACATTTTTTAAAAAATACATTACCAATAAATGCTTTTTGTACAAGTTTCTGTTGTATTATTAATGGCTAAAATAAATAAAAATTAAATAAAAAAATTGGAAAAACAAACAAATAAAAAAAAAACCACTCCACGCTCTTTTTTTGCCTGCACCTAGGGACAGCCGATACGGTGATATAATATCGATACTGTGATCATTTACATAACAATACACTTTTCTGACATCTCGCAATATCCTTATATATATGTTTTATCTTTTTTTAAACAGCATTTTAAAAAAAAAAGTCTAGACGCTGCTGATTTGATTTTAAAGGAAAGTCAAATATATATATTTTTTGCATTTATTATTATTAATTGATTACAATTAGTGGAATTTGTTTTTTTTTATCCTTTTCAGGTTGAAGAAATTTATTTTTGGAGACATTGTAGATAAAAAAAGTTTCACAGATGGCTTTTTTAATGCAGTAGTACAGATTCGCTAGCAGTTGGTTAAACTTATAAATGGCGATATCTGGCGTAAACCGTAGAAAATTCAAATTCATCGCACATACTTAGCACCACCTCATCTGTTATTCGCAGAAATCAGGCTTCCCTGCTGAGCATGAGAATTTTCTGGTCCTTAAAATTGATAGTGGTGATAACATTTTAACTCTCTGCAGCCCTGATACACATTTAAATAATCCTTTTGCTCTTAAATAAATAAACGTGCGTCCCCTGATAATAAGAGCGGAGTGACTCCTGAGTGCTTATTATGACAGATTCTGCTTGTACTTAGTCACATTATATTGCCTTTTCTCTCCTAGTGATATGTGTGTGTATGTGTGTGTGTGTGTGTATGTGTGTGGGTCCATAAAGCAGTTGTGAACTGCGCTAATGACAGATTTAGCTTCGGCTCTGACATGTTGTGTCTCAAGTGGTAACAGTGCTGATAGTGATGTGAGCTTTTAATGTGTCTTTCAGCGCTGAGACGACACAGGATAAGACCAGCAGCCTGGAACTAATTCATCTGTTTTAACACACACACACACACACAAACACACACAAACACACTTCTCATATCTCATCATTTCCGAAATGCATCTGAGTCACAGCGCCTGAGAGCAAGCTATCATTTAAAAGCTTTAGTTCCTCCTGTTTCTCAGTCATGGTTAAAAAGATGGAGAGTTGGATGCATCCTCATACACACACACACACACACACACACACACTGTCAGGACGAGTAACACACTCCATGAAGATGGGGAAACATTTCAATCAGGTTAGCATTGACGTAGCACTTAGCGGGCTGAGTACTTGAGTGGGTGAAAGCGCTATTAGAGGGAAACATATTAAGGCTTGCTTTATTAAAGAGAGAGATGGAGAGGGTCAGAATGGGAGAGGAACAAGAAAAATGGAAAGCGTGTGTGTGTGTGTGTGTGTGCATGCGTGTGTACATGTGTGTGTGTGTGTTAAAACAGAGATGTATTAGTTCCAGGCTGCTGGTGTTACCATGTGTCATCTCAGTGCACGCACAGAGAGAGAGAGTGAGAGAAAGGGAGTGACGGAGAGGGAGTGAGAGAGAGAGAGAGAGAGAAAGAGAAAGAGAGGGAGGAGACCCTCTACAGTGCATCAATCTCTGAGCAACAACCTGAGGTTTGAACTGCTGCCTGTTAGGTGTGTGCTGATACAAAATCACGATACTCACCACTATTTAATCACAGTTTGACATTGTTTTAAAGCGCCATGGTAACAATACTGTGGCCTAATGGTTAGAGGGTTGGACTTGCAACCCAAAGGTGAACCTGAAGGTTGTGGGTTCGAGTCTTGGGTCCAGCAGGGATTGTAGGTGGGGGGAGTGAATGACCAGCGCTCTCTTCCACCCTCAATACCACGACTGAGGTGAGACCTTTGAGCAAGGTACCGAACCCCCAACTGCTCCCCGGGCGCTGCAGCCACTGCTCTGGGTGTGCGCACACTTGGATGGGTTAAATGCAGAGCACAAATTCCGAGTATGGGTCACCACACTTGGCCACACTTCACTTCAGTTCAAATTCTCCACCCACTCACTGTGATCGCATGTTCAGAAACGTGATACTGTTTACTGTACGCCGAAGACGCGGCTTCTCGTTCTCGTGTCCTCTCTGAGACTGAAGCGTTTCCGCGTCTCTCTCCGGCTGAAGCGATGCTGGGAAAGCGCGAGCTTGTTTGGGTGGCTCATTTTTTAAGGCAGCTCTGAGGATCGATTTCAGATCAGGTTTAAGGACTCGCTTTTTCCTAATCGCTCCCCTGGTCCCTCTTAGGACATGAAAACCGGTGTCCTTCAGACAGGCTGAGACAATCAGGCGCTCTCTCTCTCTCTCTCTATCAAACACACACACACACACACACACACACACACACACACACACACATATATATATATATATATATATATATATATGTATATATACAGACTCATTTATGCACTCATACAACTGATGTTACGCATACCTATTACTGTGGGAAAAAAATGAGCCAAGGACGTCTGAGGTGTTTCTATTTCACTGAAGACACCCACACTGACGTCCCTGAAGTGAGCGCTCTGCAGAGTGAGTCCCTGAGGTGTAGTCTGAGATGCTTTTTAACAAACTGTGCCTTCAAAGCCATGAAGCTCTCCTTTATAACCGTGTTTAGAGCAGTGGTCCTCAATCTATCTGAAGCCAGGGACTCGTTGTATCATATTTTGATGCAATGCATTATATATTAAAAAGAACAACATTATCATGATTCATTTTAATGGTTGGATTTAAAGTTTTTTTTTCCAAACATAACTGCCTTCATAATTGACTGACAATAAAATGGTGTTAATACTGTAAAATAAATAAATAAATAAAAATGGGGGCCCCTCCATGGACCCCTCAGGTTTATTCATTATTTATTTTTTATTTGCTTTTTATTCCTGAATTTTCTGCTTACAAAAACCCATTAGACTGTTTAGAAGTTAGGATTGAACATGTGTTATTACATCGTAAAATATAAAAGCCATTCACGTTCCAATATGCAAATACAGGCCATGCAACACGGGTTTGCCAGGGCAGGGGGGCGGGTACGTGTACTCAACTGATTGCGTAAACTTGTTCCCGCGATTTAATTGAGTAATGGAGTCTCCCAAAACTTGTAAATTGTTAAGTTCACTTAACTTGGTGTTCATATAGCGTATAGCGTTTACTGACTGTGAATCGAACCCAGGCCACGGCAGTGAGAGCGCTGCATGCTAGCCACTAGTACACCAGGGAATCAGGGTACTAAAATAATTAAGCTCACTTAACTTGGTGTTCATGTCAAGCATACTTAAATACAGGGACAGAGGACCGCCTTTTGCAATTATCTACCAATCAGAGCATTGTTGCCAGGCAGAACTCCTTGCACGGCCAATCACATCAAAGACCAGCGTGAGCTATTTTAATGAATCATGATTTTGAGCTCATAGCACTTGGAATCTTAAGTTTACACATTTTGTATGTAAGTAAGTTAAACAAACTTATATTTTTGAATTATGGGTACAAAACGCAGCATTTTAAGTCGTGTTTAGTCTTGATTACTTGTGTAAGTAAAGACAACATTAGGGTTTACAGTGTAGGGTTGGCGCATGTTTCGAATTTGCATATTCATATTTACATTAACTCATGAAGGGTAAAATGTGCTTCTGTGCTTTTTTCATTTTGTAAAACGTCACGCGATTGTTTTTTTCCTCGCTATGGAGAACATGTTATAGTCTTTGTGACGAATCATATCCTAAAGCCGAAAGAGAAAACTAGGCTGAGGTTCTTCCCCTGAAGCTGTTAGCACGACGTCTCATAACCGGCTCTGCTTGGAGCTGTGTGCCAGAAACATCTTGGTGTGATCTTCGACACGGCTTGTAAATTTGACGAGCGTAACAGCTCTGTGGTGAAGCTGAGGTTTCTTCAGCACACACACACACACACACAGACACACACGCACAGCTGAAGTCTTCTCTAACCTCTGATCTGGAACGTGTAGTGCTTGAGCGTGTCTTTATTTCCTCACGCCTGGATTAGTGTACTGTACTGCATCCACGTGGTAGTCGCTCGGCTCTACATTTCCTGAAGCAGCTTCGTATGTCTCCTGTGTTTTAGCCTCGTTTCACTGAACAGAGTTCATTTTGTTTTCCATTTGTCCTCTTTGTAGATTCCATACATCTATATATTCTATAAGTCTGCTCTCCTGTTATATCACTATCTGATCATATTACTCAACACTCATCATGATGAAGATGCTTGGGTTTTTTCTGTTACTGCCCCAAAGGCATGCAATTCTCTACAACTTCACAATCCAAACCTGTTTCGTCTTCAAACTGCTTTAATGCTGCACAATGTTTGCAGCCTTTTTTCTCTTTTGCAGGGAAAAACTTGAATCCTGAAGCTGAATGTATGCATAGTAAATTGTTTTTTCCCTATAAGCCCAGATTACTGTGATTTCTTTCACATGAGGCTAATGTGGGTGCAATACGCAGCGTAACCTGAGAATACCTGCTCCTTGTCTAATGTGTACGCGCCCCTACAGTCCAATTTCTCCCCTACTGATGTGAAGTAAAGTGGGCGGGGCTAATAATGAGTAAAGCTCGTGGAAACTCCACAATCGCCAATCACACGGCTTGGTGTTTCTTGTCCCTCGCACGCACCTTTCTTTAAACCTATGTGTTTACGCGCAACCTTTTTTTCCCCCAAGTCTGCGTTACATAGTGAGTGAGAGCAACCTAACATGCAAAAAGTAACCTAGTGATAAAAAGCAAACCAGGGAGTAAAAGCTAACCTAGCGGGCAAAATGTAACCTAATGAGCAAAAAATAACTAGAAAGCAAAGGCTAGACTAGCAAGCAAAATCTAATCTAGTGAGCAAAATCTAACTAGCGAGCAAAATCTAATCTAGTGAGCAAAATCTAGTGAGCAAAAACTAGCTAGCAAGCAAAAACTAACCTAGAGTAGCAAAAAATATAAATAGTGTACGAGACCTAGCCTAGTGAGCAAAAGCTAATGTGCAAGTTAGCAAACAAATGCTCTCAGACCTGTCAATCAAATGTGCTTATTACAGTATTAGGCCACGCCCACCAGCTCGGTTCCACTGGTGTTTGAGCAGCATTTTGTCAGACTCCTATTTTTTTTTTAATTCAAACTTTATTGGAATTTAATGCACCACTCAAGTGTGCTATAACACAAACATGCAGACATTTCAAACCATTCCCTGAGAGTTAGATTTTATTTATATATATTTATTTATTTATTCACAGCCTTGTTAACTTTTATCATGTGCAGCTCTATATAATTCCTTCAGCTTTATCAGCGAACCCACGGGCTCTGAACACACCTTCGGCTCACGCAGAAAGCACGGAAAAAGTTAATATGTGAAGAACAGGAAGCCAAAGCACTTTTTCAATTACTCCAATGCAGGCAGACGCTGAGGAAAAGCTAAGAGGGAGAATGGTGTAAGAAATCTCAGTCATGCATTAGCAGGAGGTGTGTAATGGCATCCGAACGCTGCCAGCTAAAGTCACGCAGGATGGAGTGGCTGCACAATAGCCGGATCCATTAAGAGGAAGCGCTTTCTGCTCCTTCACTGTGTGCCTTCACTTGCTCTGGTTGCTGAAATGAAGCGTCTGTGCACGCACAAAGGCGACGTGGTGTGTTAGCGTGGCTCAGCGGGGTGCTAATCATCACTGTCACAATTACACACAGCCTCAACTCGCACGACCTTCAGTTTAAGGACAGCAAAGTCGTCTGCTTTTGCGCTCTCTCTCTCTCTCTCTCTCTCTCTCTCTCTCTCTCTCTCTTTAATGCTTGGGACTGAGAGTGGGAGAGGAACGTGTCTCTCTCTCCATCTGTCTCTCTGTCTGTCGTTCTCACTCTCACAGGATAAAACACACTTGTGATGGCAGAAGGGCAAATCTGTCTGAAGGGTTTATTCATTTGGAACAGTAATGACATGTTGGAGGTTGGTAAAGAGATGGAGTGAAAAAAGACAAAGACACACACATAGAAAGAGAGAGAGAGAGAGAGAGAGAGAGAGAGAGAGAGAGGCAGAAGAACAGAGAGCCAGAACGTGAAGAAATGAACGAGACAGAGACAGACAAACAGACAGACACACAGATAAAGAGAGACAAAAAGCAAGGGAGACAGCCAGTTAGAGACAGACTGAGAGGGAAAATGAGAGAAAGACAGAATGATGGCGAGACAGAAAGAGAGACAGAGGGACAGAGAGACAGACAGATGGATAGAGAGAGAGAGAGACATAATGATTGAGAAACAGAAAGAGACAGAGAGACATATTGAAGGAGAGACAGTAAGAGAGAGACAGAAGCAAAGAATGAGAGACAGACAGAGGTCAGAGTGCGAGAGAGAGAGACACACACACACACACAAACACACACAGACAGACAGATAGATAGAGACAGAAAGACAGACAGAGAAGGAGACTTTGACTTTTGACATAGCACAGCATTTTCAAATAAGCAGCATTTAGAAAAAAACAAAAAACAAAATAAGTACATCTAAAAGGTAGGCAAACACAAACATACTGAGAGACAGAAAGAGAGACAAATAGAGAGAGACTTAATGTTGGAGAGACAGAAAGATAGAGTCAAAGAGAGAGAAAGAGAATGAGACAGACATAATGATGGAGAGACAGTAAGAGAGAGAGAGAAATGAGAGACAGTCAGAAAGAGAGAGACAGACAGACATACAGACAGACAGCCATACAGACTGAGAGAGAGTGAGGGAGAGAGAAAGACAGACAAGTAGAGAGACAGAGGGGGTAGCATATGGTGTCCGTACCCCAGGTGTGCTGTCCTCTGCTGAGGAAATTGACCAAACAAAGGATAAGTGAGATGGCTACTAGGCCTGCTCATTCTTCCCCATTACATCCCTCTGGCTTTACTCACACTCACACACACACACACACACACACACACACGGGCAACTATCTAGGTTTCTTGTTAGACCCGCAGACATAAACCGCCCTCCATTATTTCCCCCTTTGGTCTGGATTTCCTCTCAGACCTCTCTCTCTCTCTCTCTCACTCTCTATCTTACACACACACACACACACACACACACACACAACTAAAATGACACATCACTGAGATGCTGCCCAGAGCCCAAACTCTCACAAAAAAAGGTCTCATTTTCCATTTTCCTGTCTCGTCTTGGCTCCGTCTCTCTCTCTCTCTCTCTCTCTCTCTCGTGCAGAATTTGGCTATTCTGTGCCGATTTGTTTCCGCACAGTGTCTCATCTCTCTCCCACAAATGTCACTTTGAGGTTTGTAAACAACGGCCCCCTGCAACGTGCTTGTGTGTATGTGTGTGTATGTGTGTGTGTGTGTGTGTGTGTGTGTGTGTGTGGGCTCTGCAGATTTATGGCTGTAATGAGGTTGGAGAGAGAAAGACAAAAGGTTGAGGTGGAGACAGAGAGACAGGACAAGCTGGAGGAGAGAGACAAAGACACAAACAAAGACAAAGTCACTGTGGTGTGTGTGTGTATATATAAGTTTGTGTTTGAGTGTGTGTGTGTGTGTGTGTGTGTGTGTGTGTGTATGGTGTTGGTACGAGTGTATCACACTGACTGTTGTTTAAGTTTTACACACTGTATACATTTACCATGGGTGGAGAACACCCGAGTAATTGTACTTCGTTAACGTACTTACTCGAGCGTTGTTGAAACTGAGTACTCATATTTAATTACACTTCAAAGACAAAACTTACTTTTTTACTCCTGCATTTTACTTTAGACCTTCAAATACTCGTTATAATTCTCAAAGGTCTTTTCTTCTCACATTCAGCCAATCACTATACGCTATAAATCAACAGAATGGCTCAGTTTAGCTAACCAACATTTCAGATTAGCATCAAAAAAAAAAACCCTCAAAAATCGTACCAATTTGTTACTCAGTGCAGTCAGCGCTTTAGCTATGTGTGTTTTGAGTGTGTGTTTGGACACGGATAATCCACCAGACTGCAGCCCTGCCTCAGTAAAATATTTCAGTACACTGAAATAAACAGACTCATTTGTTTTCCTGTAAAAAAAAAAGCATGCTGAGGTATGTTTTGCTAACATTAACTGGCTATATGTATCTTAGTTTGCTAACTCCAGGTTAGACTAGCATCGATTAGTAGCTAACATAATCGGCTAGGCAGCAAGTCGAAATCTGGCTAAAGGGCAATATTGAGAGCTTACTGACATTGATTTCAGGCGAAATGGTGCAGATGCTTTAAAACAAAACAAAA